TTAATTATAATTTTGTGATATATTTTATGAAATACCATGGGAGACCAAACCAAATGCTATTCTCTATAAATAGGAAAATGGTGAAATATTAGTATTATATTGTTTAGTGTAAAATTTGCTGGAATTGGTGGGAGACCAAATGCACTATTTCTTCCCCAAAAGTAGTGAAATTATAGAATGGTGTACTAAGGGTGGGAGATAACCCCATTTTTTCACCACCAAAAATAGGATTTGGTGAAAAAATGGTGATTAGGGTGGAAGATGCTCTAAGACGAGGAAAATGAGTTTTCTCAGGAAAATGGAGAAAAAAAGAAAAAAGAAAAATCGTGAGTAAAATTTGAAGATCGTCTCGATGACTTTTTCTCTCCCATATCTCTCTCTCTCTCTCTTACGCCTTCTCTCTCTCCCCTCTTTGTTACACTCGTACTCATTTTCATATTCATTTTAATTTGTACATAATTTTAATTTTTTCATGTCAATCACCACCTAAAAGTAGTCCTAATAAACATGGAAAAAGAGAAATAACAAAATGGAGAAAAAGAAGATTAAAATCATAGTGACAAAGTAGAATGATAGGAGATCAACCATTTTATTGAGAACAATTTCTTCTATCTATAATTTTTAGGTCGAGCTCATCGTACACAATTTGTCATGTACGGTTTATATTTTACATTTACTCTGCATGCTATCACACTAGAACGTAACTTACCCTATGTAATCTTAATTAGTTGCAGCACAAAAAAATAAAATAAAATTGTACTTTAATTTATCAAAGAGCGTGATATAGCATAAGCAAGCCAAAAGGTGCTCAAGATTACGACCTTAACCTAACACAAAAAAGGAGGCGATCACTTAAATTTCTCAAAATAACATTACACACAAGTACAATTTGCATACATATACAATGTAAGTGTTTATAAAAGTGGACGGTTAACAATACACGTGAATGGTGATTAAGATAACACTCGGTACAGTTCATCAGACGTAATCTAAAATAAACTTTACAAAGAACCTTAGAATTCGAATACTATATGATATATAATAGAAAAGAAATAAATAAAAAAATATTGTAGGATAATATAAGTATGAATTTCAACCATGGTGAAATGTACTTTATTTCATACCAAGTTAAATGAGTTAAATTGGTCATGTCATAAATATTTATTGACCACTCACACACACAAAAACGTACATTAATTTATTGAAAAGGTCTCCCTATTTAATAATTGTTCATGCATGAGAAGTCATTTAAAATTGTTAGGTATGGTCTCATATCAACTACAAAAAGTTGGGGACTCAATATTAAGGCCATTGAATTGTTGGTATAAGTACACAAAGAGATAAGATTTATGCACCTAGGCATATAAATTTAATTATTGAACTTAAATGATATCTTAAAAATCATTTTTTATTATTTTTTTATGGAAAAAAATTATTTATATTATATTGGTATTAACATATGAATATATATTAAAATGTTGCATCATGCAAATTACAATGAATAGTATTTTATATACATATTCTTACACATATATCTGGATCTATGCATAACAAACATGTGCAAAATATATAATTAAAAATTTAAAAGTGTTACGCTATGTATTTCATCAAATGCAATATTTAGGTGAAAATTTTAGACCGAATATATTGAAATTTGACACATTTTTAAAAGAAAAAAAAAATCAAAATCAAAATACTAATTCTATTTCCGTTCCAAAAAAAAAATTAAAATCGAAAATCAAAAAGATACATGTTCCAAGATTGATTGATTTCTTTGTTCATCTACAATATAAAATAAATATTACCGTTCATATTATAAAGCATAGTTTTTGAAAAAATAAAGTAGAATTTTTAAAATTACTTTTGAAAATTTAAATCTAATCGAAAATCATAATTTCAGACAAATACTCCAATTTAGATCCAGAAGGCTCGGAAATAATGGAAATTGGAATTTTCGTACTGTTTCAAAAATCAATTTAATTCGAAAACTTTGTTCCAATTTATTTGAAAAGAATAATATAATATTATCTCAATATATTATACACCAAAACCTCTTAATTATATTCTCTAAACTAACTTAAAAACTAGTTTGAAAAAAAAAAAAAAAAAAAGGAAAGAGATTATTACATAGATCTACTACAATCCGCCACTCCGAATCCCACTCTCCGATTGGTCAAATCAAATTCCACCCAATGATTTTTCTGATGAAAGTTCCCAATTATATTACTTGAAACACCGAGCGCTTCCGACCGTCCGATCGCGACGCAGTGGATCCCACCTCCCACGTGGTCCAAAACCCTCTCCTTGCTGATCAATATCTCCACGCGCTTTTCAAACTCAAACACCATATCGCCGATCGACCGTCCGATCTCGATCGCGGCGGCGCCGCCGTCGAAGCACATATCCAACGCGCCGCCGTAGGCGTACCCCTTCTTCATTCTTCCACCCACTCTCCTCACGACTTCTTCCCTCACCTTAGCGTAGGCGGCGTCCACCAGAAACGTGTACTGCGTGCCGGAATCTATCATCGTCTGGCCAGAGCCGCCGGCGTCCGGCCGGAAAACCGCCTGAGATATGTTCAGCCTCGCCCCTCCGATTTTGATGCCAGTCAACCCGACGGTGTAGGCGAGGGGGTCGAAATTGGGGCTGCGTTGACTTTTGGGGAAAGTCAACAGGTTGATGTATCGGAAGGTACGAGAATGTGGGTTTTGTCCCAGGTAAAACGTGCCGGTGGGGTTAATTACCTTATTGCCCCGGCGTTGTCTGGTCGGCACGCAGTATGAGAATCTCGGCACCTTAGCCTGTGAAATGAACGACAGCCGGCCGAGGTTCATTCCCAAAATACCCTCGGCCTCGCCCGGCTCGGCGGCGCAGCCGAGGATCAGGGGAGGGGTAGTTCGGGAATTCGGGAAAGTGATTTTTTCTCTGACGAGATTGCCCTCGGCGAGGGTCCCGTCGGCGTAGAAGTAGGAGTAGTGGCAGAGGCGGTTCTGGTCGCAGGTTGTCGGGAGGGTAAAATCGGGAATTCGCGGCTTGCAGATGGGGTGGCTGCAAGGGAGTGTGGAGAAGGAGGAGGAGAGGGAGGGGTCGAACGACGACGCCGGCGGCGGCGGCGGCGGCGGCGGTCGGGGTGATTTGCGGTGGCACTGAATCCACGACAGCTGGCTGCCGGTGTCGAGAACCATCTGCTGAGACTGCGGCGGGGTTCCGATGGGGAGAGAGACTATCAGGGCCATCGAATACCTGAAAGGTGACCTGTAGTTGTAACCAAACGGCGGCGCCGCCGCCGTCTGGTTAGAAGGCGGCGATACGGCTAGAGAAGAAAGAATATTCGCCTTGGAAGCTTCAGACAAAACTACCGAGGTTAGAGGGAAAGAAAGAGAAAATGTTTTTCCTTCAACTGAAGAAGAAGAGTTGATGAATAGCATGAAAAGAAGAAGAAAGATGGAATTGCAGCTGCAGGACGCCATTTTCTTGAAAAATGAAAGTTTTAGAGAGAGAGAGAGTGATGAGAGAGAGAGAGAGAATGAAGAAGAAGAAGAGTGGGGTGGGGGTATTAAAAAGGGAAGAACGCGGTTTTTTCAGCTTCATCATAATTTGGAGTGGTTGAATCTAATAAACACCAATAAGCTACTTAGCTTCTACTACAGTTATGTTAACACACTTTTTTTACGAGTAACATTTGTTGTTGTGGCCTATCACGTGCCAATTTTGCTCTATTTCTTTTATTATTATTATTATTATTTAATTCAACCTACATTATCATGTGTTGTTAAATAAGGAGTTTATATTTATGATTTAACCAAATAATTGTAAACGTTCTTTTGTAGGGTAATTAGCACTTAATCCACCTTTCGTTACAAGTTTTTTGCAGATGATATCCATGTGCTCGTAATATCAGCACATAAACCCATCGTGGTTGATGGAGGTTAGCTTCCGTTAGTTTTGTAGATGACCCCCTTGTGCTTTTATTTTTGCAGATGAATCCCTTGAAGTTTGACACATGCTGTTAAGTTTGACGAGAAAACTAACGGAAGCTACCCACATAAACCACAGAGGGGGTTATGTGCTGATATTGCGAGCACATGGCGGATCATCTGCAAAAGCTTGTAACCACAGGGGGATTATGTGCTATTTAGTCTTCTTTTTTATTGACAATATAATTAGTTGTCGCTCTAATTAAGTGCACTGAATAAACTACAACTAGTATATTAGCTTGTAACTTATATGAAATATGTAAATCCATATTTGGTTTAAATGTTCACGAGCTTGACCTACCAAGTGTTGATGTCAAATAATTTGCACACTCTTGTTCTATCAACTAGGTCACTCATCGCAATAACTTAGATCGTTGGGTAAACTTTATACCTGTGCAATAATTCAAACTGTATAAGAGGTGTAAACTGCAAATGACAAACTTTATATGACGAATCCCATCTAAAAATTGTTGTCAAGGGGAATCAAACTCCAATTGTAAGACGTCGTTCTTCCCTTGTGATGATGCTAGAGATAGGTCATCTGATATAGTTGAGGTAGGGTGAGCTGAAAGAGTAAAGTGGATTACTGGCTTGCGAGCTTGATGATCGCGACATACCTGTCGATCAGAGAATATGTAAACTAAGCCGGGGGTTGATCCGGCGAAAACTCCTCCGACGCTCAAGCCATACGTGTGGATTGCAAATGTGGTAGAGAGAATTCATAGAGTTGGATTGATGTGATTTATAACGTTCCTTAACAAAATGACTTATAACCTCTATTTATATTGAGTTTGTCGGGCTGAAATTGGGCGCAAACTTTATTTGAAGGTGATTGTTTCCATTATAGTGGTATTCAAAAGTGAACTCGTGACCCACTAGATTAAAAAACTGTAGGCTCATTGGGCTGACCCAATTAAACATATCACCTTGATTTACCAATTAATTGATGATATTGTTATGAGATTAAATGAAAATATTGATCGGCAAAACTGTTAAAATTGATTATCAACTTTAACGATTTTTTTTAAGATTGATTAAATTGATTATAATTTTATTAGGCGTTGATATATTCATATATGATTAGAGATAAACTTATTATGTATTTTTTCTAATATTCATAAAATGCTCTACAATATAACTTCATCAATATTGCATATTGACCACGGAGTTGACTAAATATACTACATTAACTCCCGTTTTTATAGTTTTTTGAAAAAATATTCTTCCAGCAATGACCGCGCACGTCTCCGACGTTTTTTTTTCTGAATTTTTTTTTGACCGGTCAACCGCTGTTGACCTCCGATCTCCATCGTTGACTTTTTTTTGAAACATTTTTTTTCTCTAAACTATTATGTCAACAACAAAATTATTGTGAGACAGTAATATTAAATGCAAAACAATAATATAACTAATATTACTGTCCGAAACAGTAATATTAGTGCCAGATACAATAAGTAATATTACGGTCGGAGACAGTAATATTACGGTCGGAGACAGTAAAATTACAGGCCACGGCAATAAAATTAATTAATGCAGTAAAATTATTGTCTCGGACAGTTAGTACTGTCTCAGAGAGTAATATTGTTGTCTATTACTGCAATATTACTGTTTGAGATGGTAATATTGCAGGCCAATGAAAATAATTTATTATTTTCTTTTTTTTAATTTAAAAGAAAAAAGAAAATCAACGGCGGAGACCAGCGGTCAAAATTGGAATATGGGTCAAAATAGGTTAATTGGGCTAAATTGGCGTATAAATCATGAAATTGGAATAGAATTGGAGTTTCAATGGATTAGGGATAATTTTGGTATATATAAAAGAATTTTCCTTATTTGCAAATAAGTTTAAACGAAATGAATTTATTTACAAGACAAAAAAACAGGATGTTCATTTTTCAATTAAGTGCTCTTGCAAGGCCCTCTTTGCAAGTTACCCTAAAATATACATAATTTCAGATAAGTTTTATTTTATCATTATTTTTATGGGCTGTTAGTCAGACTCCACTCTAGAAAGGAAGAGTGAACTCATGTTAATTGATTTCAAATTATCAGTAAACTGCTGAAAATTAGTGAATAAATTGGCTGAAATTGATAATGAACTTCTTAAATTTAAAAATTACAATTATTTCTAATAATCTAATTATCACTATATAATTTCTTGTTAAACATAAACTATCGTATCACTACATATTCATATGTATCTATATTTAATTTTAAATAAAATATAATATTCTTATGATTTATTATTGGCTACAGTTACAATTTGTGTATTTAATAAATAATTTTCAAACTTAATTTGTGTTTAACAATTGTGGGTATACCGTATGTATATGGGTGGTAACTTTATACATTCTTTTATTTAATTATTTATTTATTTATGAAGATATTGATACAATTTAAAACCTTTTTTTTCTGGAATATATCACATCTCATAGTTGCATGCGGTCCATTGTGAGGAATGGTTCATTAAAGAATGTCTGCTGAAACGTTGTCGTATGGTCTGAATTTTCTACCAAACAATTAATTGTATTTAATTCAATAAGAAAACTTTAATCAATTTGAAGACTATATGCCAACTGAAATTATTGGAAAGTATGGGTTTTCATAATTTTTTAATATCGACTCCTCAATTGAACTAACTTTTTATGGGTTAAATTATTTTATATATAAATATTTTTCTTCAACTAATTTTCTTGAAGCTAATATATATATATATATATATATATATATATATATATATATATATATATATATATATATATATATATATA